AACTATCATTTATCAATATTAAGGAATTATTTACGTAAAACAAGCTACTGTATATTGCTGAAAATTCACCCATAAGTTAGTGTACGAGTAATAAGACACAACTAAGATATTTGCACTAGAAACTAGACCAAAAATACTTGGTAAGATTTTGTATTTTGCAGTTAATTTTAATGTGACGAACGTTTTTCAGTTGAATTGTGCGTCACAAAAAAAAAACAGGCGTTTTAACAGCAGTGTTTACACTTGTAAGAGTCACTGTGTAATTAGTGACGTGGTCAGCTTAGTGACTCAGCAACTTGTATGGTGAACTTCAACACAACCTGAACCATAAATGAAAAAAACAAACAAAAACAATAGTTGAATTGTGTTAGATACTTTCATCCAGATCCAATATTTGTTTAAAATTAAATATGTTTCACATTTGGCAACTAAAGTAGTCAGGAATGTTTAGCTTGCAAGACATATAAGCAGTGAGGTGGCACGCTAACATGAGTCAGCACCCTGTAATTTTACCGGATTGTGCTGCTGGGATGCAGCAACGTGACATAAAGCAAAGCAGACAACATGGAGGTTTCTGAAGAATTAACACTGCAGATCATGGTGAATTTGGGGACATTAAGTCTTCATAAATTCTTACTGGTAAGATACTAACCAGCCAGAAAAACTTGATGAAGGAGGTGATTACCTTTAAGCAGAGGGCAGCATTTCCACACCATGATTGGGCCAGCTGAGCCATACTGGCCTAAACTCAGCTCCATGAGGAAGAGAGGAACTCCCGTCACAAACAGCATGATGAAATACGGGATGAGAAACACGCCTGTGAAGAAGGGAATCAGGCCAAGATGAGGAAAACCAAAGCTGGCAATGAAAAAATGTTAAAAATCACAGCAATATTCTGGGATTATACACTGCTTGTGAAGACAGGCTTCATTATAAATCCATCAGTTTCAGGAGACAGCTTCACAGAAAGGTGCTAATCTGCTATACCGTCAGTCAAGCTTCAACATGCTTAATCTCAGATGAGTGGATAAAAAACAGACTTCAAGTCTTGTAATCAAGGGAAAATACTATTTCTGCTTATTTCTGGTTTGTAACTGCTGCAAGACACTCGATTTTACAAAGAATCTGCCAAATAAGCCAGCCAGCTGAAGAACAAAGCCAACAACCATGGAGTTATGTGAAGACAACCTCTAATCCAAATTATTGCCGGGAACCGTTAAGCACACATGCCTCGGTTTTAAAATCAGGATGCTTTGCGGTAGCTCACCTCCTCCATTGCGGTAACACAGGTACGGGAACCGCCACACGTTGCCCAGACCCACGCAGTAACCGATGCAGGACAGGAGGAACTCGTATTTCCCACCCCACTGATCCCTTGGGATAATCGCAGCCGGGGTGGGAACGGGACTGGAGGCCGGGGTCTCAGACTGCTGCGCTGGGGTCGGTGTAGTTGCTGGATTGTAGCCATTTGGAGAAACTGTATGCCCATTCAAATGTGATGAGTTCTAAAAGATATAAAATGAAATGGCACATATGAGGATGACATGAGCAGAAATGCATTGCGATGCGAGAAATCTTTCATTGTGACTGATAGCTAACCAATGTAAAGCTGTTCATAACTATAGAAAAATTTAGCCAACGTAATACTACAAGAATTACTTTATATTATGAACATCTCTTAACTCATGTTTCTTTTGTGGTTTTGATTTAATATCCAGCTCAGTCATAGACCAATTTAAATCCAATTAAATACATGTGATTGATGATTAAATTCTATAAATAATGCCAATTGCTATCTAAGCAAGTTTAGGAAATTGTATTGAGTCATTAGTTTACAGCAATCTCGTCACATCGAGAAAACATTTTGCAACAATAATAAGGAACAACTCCCTTTTAACAGGAAGAAAACTACACGGTTAATGGCAGCAGTAATGTGACGCTATAGGAGGAAAAGCAGAGCGCATCAGTTGCAACAGCAGTTCCTTTAATGTGTTTGTCCAGAAAAGAGACCAGGTCAAACAGAGCTTTGCACATCTATTGTTTAGGCTTGGAGCTGACCATTTTAACACACAAATATGTGTTTATATAAAGCATTTCATTGAATCTTCGGCTGTAGTGCTTTGTCCTTCTGGGAGGTGGATCTCTCCCCCAGTCTCAGGTCTTCACAGGGTTTCCACAAGTGTATTATAAGCCTGGCGGGCCACCAGGCTGAGCATTGCTTATTTATTTAAGTCTTTTTAAAATGTTTGCATTTTTTAACACTTTGGTGTTCAGGTATTAATCTTCCAATAACACATGATTATCAAGTGGTATTTTCAAATTTCCTGTCAACTTTAAACATTTTTTAACTCTAAAACACGACAGGCAGCTGGATGAATGACTGCCCTGGCACTCAACCACTGAGCTTAGCAAGTTTTTTTTTTTTTACATATTTATTATTCACCAGCAGATATAAATACAACAAACATTATAGAGTAAGAAAAAGCACAAAAAGGGCATTGATCTGCAAAATAATTAACCGGATAATAGAGCGAATAACAGAGATAGAAATCAAACAAACAAAAACAAAACAAACAAACAGGTAGTTTCTAACATGTTTCCTTTTAAGAAGATTGTCCTGAATTTTTCTCTTGGTGTCTCTCCATCAACACTAGGGTCTCTCTCCCTGCTGAGTAGAAACGTGGTAATAGCATTATTCTGCCACTACCATGCTTCACAGTGTGAATGATATTCATATATTAGCATATAGTAATTAACAAAAACAGTTGCTTTATTCAATAAAGATTATGTCAGACATTCCAAATGGTATCGATACTTCTGCAAGGCACTTTGAAGCTTAGACCTAAGAACAGTTTGTATGACATGCATTTGATGAAACTCAACACTTTTTCAAAACCAAAGAATTGTAATGTACTATTTAGTTCTTCCCACAAAAGAAATCAACATCTAAACTACAGAGGAAGTTATGCCGGGCCACAAGGAGGAACTTTAATGGAGATAACAGTAGATAAGAGTGGAGCTTCTGCTTTATGTGTTGTCACACTATTTGTTCAGAGTTCAAAGATGAATTATTTCCATGAGTTCAGTTTTATTGTCGTGACATTTTACGTTTGAGTCTGAAAGGAATCATCAATTACCTACTTCAAAAGTTTTACATACTTTAAAAAAAACTGGCAAAGTACAGGAAACACGAAGGCCTGAAATTGTGCTGCAGTCACAAAAAATAAATTATATAAATAATTGCTGCACAAATATTTGGGAAGTGATCACCAAAAATATGCAGAGATAAGAAAGATTAAGTATTATTATCTTCATCTGACAGAGAAAAAAATACAGCAAATGCCTTTTTTTTCTTTTTTTAAAATCTTTATAGCTAATTAGAGATTTTAAATGACTGTGACTGAATTCAAGAAGAAGCATGTAAGTCAAACGGGTTTCTGGGAAGAAGCTATTTCAGGTGACGGAAACAAAAGACGGTTTCCTGGGTTGTTTCCTGGGCGGATCACCTGCATCAGTGTTGTAATATCTTGAGAATAGTTTGTATGCACACACGTGTCGAGTGAGCAGGTCCATAGTTTTATCTCAGTTCTATCTCAGGCGCCTCCGGTGCATCAGCACCCAAAGTAATGTGGACGGACAGGTTAGACTGCTTCACCTGGTGACGGTGACATTGAAAGCGGAAAGAAGAAAACACTTGTACGTTTTACACACTCTAGAGGGACGTCTTGGGAGCAAACAAAATTAAGAAATGACAGAATAACAATAATAAAGAAACAAAGCTCCGCTCTTACCTGCGCTAAGGCTGCTGCGCCTCCTCCCGCGGAGCTTCCGCCGGCTGCTCCTTTGCCGCTTTCGTCGCGCATTTCCACCCGGCAGAGGTGGCGTCTGCTTCACTGGCTAAAATTCAACGTCGCTGCACCTCATTTTACGCGACAGACTGTGGGAACAGCGAGCCGCTGAAGTGTTTCGGCGGCTCTCGATGGAGCGGACCAGCTGGAGAGTCAGACCGGGCTGGTGGACATCGGCGGTGACGACGAGGAACCGAGGCCGGCGGAGGAAGAGGTGAGGGGCGGGGAGAGGAGAGGAGAGGCAGGTGCTGCATCATGCAAGAGAAAACCTCCACCTACCACTTTAAAATGAGGCGGCGACTGTTTAGAGGATGTGTACTCAGTAACTTGGGCAGCTTTGACGTAGAAGCAAATGCAGAATGACGCTTTTAAGTTTTTTTATCCTTATAGAGCCGACCAATCAGCGGCGACCAATTTGTGTTAAATTCTGTGTGCTGCAGGTTTAAGCCATGCAAGCTGTTTTATTATTATTATTGCAAAAGATATAGAAGTAATTAAATGTTTTTTTTTCAAACTCACTCATTGGCTTTGGTCTACTTTCTGTAAAGAACATAATTCAACACATATAACCCCGTATCAGCAAACTGTGGAAGGGTGGCGCACTAAATGCAATTTCATCTACATGCACTGCAGTCTGAGATTACAATGAACAGTGGGGCTGAAACTTGAGGAACAAAACTTTCCATTATTGACCCAAACAAAACACATGGATATGTTAAGCATGCAAAAATTGTGCAGTAGATCTGCTTGTTACAGTGGCAGGGCACAGACTAATTTTTCTAGTTATGCGATTAGCCTGTTTAGCTTAGCATAACTGAACTACAACTTTGTTTTTAGCACCGTTATGCTAACTTTTTTCCCAACTTTATGGGTGAAGTTTTTATTAAAGGCTAAATAAAAATTTAAAGCCTTGCAAGTACATTTAAAGTCAAGGTACACAGCTGCTGAGATTTAAGACTCAGCTTATCTGACTGATGAAAGTGCTTTGCTCTAAAGCATTTTATTATAAGTACACCACACATTTCAGATTTTTATTTGTAAAAGATAAAACAGACCTCAAATAAAAGTAAAGTCAAACATCATCTTTTCTTTCTACAGAGAGGAAATATTTGTCGCCATGCATTTAACAGAGGAAAATATATTTTTCTGGTTTTTGAGTTATTGGCTCAGATCAAAACTCAGAAGTTTTTTGGGTTTTTTTACAAGTGTTTCTCTGTCTCATGATGTCCACACAAATAAGAGAGACATGGCGAACACAGCAACAGACGAAGGTGTTTATCTTCAGAGCCGTGAAAAAGCAGACCATTGTCTTCTGCACCTTTTGCAAATACGCATTTGTTTACGCACCGGACCACGCCTGGGGCATTCAAAGGTTCAAAAGTCCTTCACCTTTTCACGCCTCCATCAGCCATGTTATTCCTCCTACGATCTGATAGAGTGGATTTATGTGGTGAAATGAATATGTACTAAATTAAAGACCTTGTGTCGCACATGTTTTTCTGCTGCTTTCTGTCCCACGTCATCTGTTATGTACCTGTACAAATGTATCATTTTCATGTCGTTACATTTATCTGAACTCTTTTCTGAACTTTTTCTTAGCTGGCGTTTAACCATAAAACCAAAGAAGGTTTTGCTCTTTGTGAGTGAAGAAGAATCTTGAGTTTAACTTTGGAGTAAGGAAAGCTGTAAATAAGTCTCCTAATCCGCCTGTGGATGAAAACCACCCTCTCAGTCTGGCCTTTGTCAAATCAAACCAAGTCAAATAAACGTTTTGACCTTCTCAGCTCCCGTCACTGTCCATTGCAGGGTTCTGCAATGGACAGTGACGGGACAGTGACTGCTGTCCATTGTCCATGACTGCAATGGACAGTGACTGCTGTTTGTCTTACTCCAACATGGGGAGTCTCTGCTGGTCCCACTTCATGGTCTTTGGACAATCGAGGTCATCAGGGATCAAAATTCAACAGGATTTGACACGAGAACCACAACAAGTCCTCAGCAACATCTAATACTTAACAGAGAGAAGGCAACATAAAGATGAAGACATGGAAGATGGTGATGTGTGTGACTGGCTATGTCTGCGGCCTAAATTTAGTGTCACAATATGAGCCACGAGAGTGTGATGCCAACTGGGTTGCTCTTTCTTAGTAGCTACCTGTGGTAATCCACTTAAGCTAATGATGCTTCTCTAAATCCATCCAATCTGTTGAGTCCTCACTCAATAAATCTGGGTCAATAGACGTTATCGCTGCAGTGTGTGATGAACAAAACCAGCAGAATTTTCCATCTTTAAACAGCTGTTTTAACAAGAGCAATTGATTTCATCAGCGTTCCCAGATGGGAGCTGCGAGCCACAAGGAGGTTTGAGGATTTTGCGCGGAAAATGGAGCATCAAGACCACACAAAAGGCAGCGGGAGAGAATATTTGTGCGGTCAAACCGAGGCAGAGTTTGGTGCGACAGTGAACAGGCCTCCGATCGGTGGCGAGGTAAAAAGCAGCAATGCACAGCTGGACGAACAGGCGCATCTGTACTGCAACTTCTGGACTGATTCTGAACCAGCAAGAGTCAAGAACTGGAGAAGCAGATCATTTGCCATGGATGCCAGAATAAGACTTGATAGTTTGAAGTCTGGGTGTAATTCACCGCAACCCTGGGGTAACTCGGACAACTCTTTATACTACTATGACAGTGAGAAAGACCTTTGGAACGACGGAGACGTAGAGGAAGAGCAGTCTGCTTTGGACGTGGTGGAGATCCTTGATATGGAGGAAAGCGTAGGAGATGAAGAGAGCTGGTAGGTTCTGCTAGGACTGAGTTTCTTTTAGCTGACCTTGTGGTTATTTACACCAATCTTCTCTAAATTATAAATGTTAAAACATGCCTTAGACCAAACACACATTTTATCATTAATTTCTTTGTTTTAGACTCTTGGATTTTGTTCTAGATTTTGTGGCAGAAAACAAACACCGTGCATCACCCCGAGCAGAAAATGTCCGAGGCGTATAAATAGCCCACGTTGTTTTTTCTCACAGGTTATATGAGCCTCCAAACAGGCCGTCGTTCGAAGAGAGGGAGTCTGTTCTCAGGTGGTGTCGACACGTTCTGGATAACCCCAGCCCCGAGATGGAGGCGGCCCGTCGTGGGCTGATGAACAAGCTGGATCCAAGTTAGAAATCAGCCTCACCTATTTAGGATCTTTCAAATGTTGATCTGTTTAAAGGAAACGTGGTGTGATCATTGGTTTGCTTTATTTCTACCATCTCCAGGATCAAGATATTACTTCTGCAGACATGCAGCAGTTTCCACTCATTCCCCGAGTGTCTCCTTGGGTTTCGCTCAGGAAAAAACATCAGTCAACGCAACACTCAATGACTCTGACAGCTTTGGTAAAATCTGGAGTTAAGCGCCGGCATATTCTCTTTAGATAATTTGCAGAAACGGAAAATATTTTTACTCGGAGAAGCACTAAGCAATATGTCAAAAAGTCAAGTCTAGGATACAATGTGGGTGGGCCTGCAGCATATTTCCTCCACAGCAGTGCTGGTTCTACAAAGGTGGTATAGTTTTGCAAAATACTTGAACTATGATGATAATAAGATCGAGAACATCAATCACATTGGTGTGATACACATCAGAATTCTTTAAGAGATCCTATTACACTCTAAATAATAATAATAAAGCAAACAAAAAAGATAAGCTCTGTCCTGACAGAGGAAAGGCAAAAAGGAAGTAAACGTACGCAATCTTCCAGTTTGTCAAAGCATTTTTTATGATGTTGTGAAAATGGCCCAGTGGACTTTAATAAAAACTCCCCAACATGTTGTGAACCATATCTAGGCAGAGATAAACTCAAAGAAATGAATCATTGACTTAATATTATTTTTATTTTCTTCACTAAACATAAACAAATGATGTTACTTTAACAAATAAAATTAATGTTTTGCAACATTTTCTAAACTTTTTGCTTAATACTGTGTGCATTGCTCTCAATAGTTGGGAAATGACTTTACACACAAAAACAGAAAGAACTGTTATGTTCTCAAAACGCCAGGAAGATTAAACCACTGGGAATAAATTATCAAAATGACCTTAAAGAACAACAACAAAAAAGAAAAATACATTTCACGCCACCGAAAAATGCAAAAGGTCAGACTTACTGCTGAGAGATGATACAACATACGAGTCAGTGGTTTTGAAACTTTTTATGAAGATGCCGTGCAAAAAGTAACAAAATACATGTCTATTTAACAGTAAGAACTCTAAATAACTTTTCTGAAAAGTTATCTGATCTGGCACTGTAGCACAGTTATCACAGAAAGGTTTCCATTTCTTACTTTGCATAGATCATCTTAAGGTGACCCACCCTGATGACTTCATAACCACAAGCTACAGACTACAGGATATAACAGATGTCCACATAATGGCCAGAATGCAGGAAGACAGTGAGTATAAACAACACCAGGGACCTGATGGGATGTATTTCAATTGTCTTTCAGCTGGTAATCCATGTTTTCCTAGATTATTTTACACTTTGTGCCTAAACAAGGTCAGACAATAAGACTTGTTGCTCTTGCTTTTCAGGTTTAAGACAGGACTATATTTCCATGCCTGCTGCAGTTCTCTCGAAGAGAAACTCAGACGTGTTTTCCTCATTTTTAAATACTGAGGCTGACCATGCTGGTGACTTCAGTTCCAGAAATAAAAGCACTGCTCCAGACTCTGCCTGCAAGCCCGGTCTGACGTCTGCAGGCTCTTCCAGCTGCAAGTCACCAACGCCAGCAGCTAAGCAGGGCGGCCAAACCCCAAAACTGATCAAACTTCAGCAGCAAGTAACTCAGTTCAAGCTGCTGAGGCTTGCCCAGAATAAAGGTCCACATACCGACACAATCACAACTAAACTGTACCACAATGCACAACTCATGCAGTAGGCTGTGGAGAGACTCATTACAGATTTTAAATTATGTTTTCATATTGAGCTGCAGAATTTTCTATTTTAGTTATGGTTAGGATTTTCTTCTGCTTATTTTAGGGGTGAAAAGTGGTAGTAAATCTGATCCTTTCCTGTCCTCAGCATCCCCAGGTCAGATGAGGTCACCTCTGCAGACAAGCCTGCGCTCTCTCCAGGCTGTCAGGAACAGCAGAAGTTTAGAGGTCGATGTCAGCCAACCTGCTGGACAAAGCAACCGCCATCCCCCAGGTTTCTATCATTCTACACTGTCAACAGACTCCAGGAACAAGTTTGATCTTTTTCACGTCTCTCATTACACCTAACCACTTAACCCTGCGTCGCAGTTGTACCGTCTCCCAGAACAGCGTGGAGCCGCGCCGCTTATCTGAACTCCAGTGACGTCACCTGCTCGATGAGAGAGTCACCAGACAGAATAACGGCGGTGAAAAGACTGCAGAGATCCCAGTCCCTCAGTCCCAGCAGGATGGCTCACCCTTCCAAGGGATACCTGTCTGTGCGTGGGCGGGTTTTTGCCTCGCCAGACAGGGTGTCCACTGCGGCCTGGGGCAGGCATGCCTCATCCATTCAAAGGTGAAACATTTCACTGGGAAATCCCCATTAGCCAAACTAATGAGGAAGAACACTAAAAGTGGCTTAAAAATGTATTTGTACTGTTAAAACTGTATCACATTTGTCACACTGCAACTTCAAACCTCACTGTGTTTTATGTGACTAACACAAAGTAGTGCATAGTTTGGAAGTAGAAAGCAAGTGATTGTTTTTAAAATAAAAACCTGTAAAGTGTGGCGTGCTTTTTTTTATTTTATCCCAGCTGTTTGAAAAGCTATAATCTGCAAAATACACTGTGCAGAAATCTATTTGTGTAGACTGAAGTTTGGTGTGAAAGTGGAAGTGCAGTGAAACTTCTCTTCAGGGCGTCTGACAGCAGAACGAACTGCTGTGAGAAGAATGATTGCAACAGGAAGTGAGCAAGTTTCCACCATCATGCCAAATAAGCCATACAAGTAAATAATGTGTGAAAGGAAGTGCCAGCAGCCAGAAACAGAGTTCAAGAGTCGGTTAGCATGTAGAGAGGATGTCCTTCAGACAGATCAGAGGGAGGGGGCTCTTTTCTTTTTGTTTTCCTTTTTCATTTGAAGCTTGTTGATTCACTTTTATTCATAAATAACATTTCCACCAATCAGTTTCTTTCTCTATTTCAGTGGAGGGACAAATAGTAAGATGAAGCGCCATCTGCTGTTCAAGGCCTGAATTGGAGAATTTGTTGTTTTCTTCAAATGATCTCCAAACGACACACTGACTTCAGCGGGACAAAACATCCTTTAAGTAAATTTAAAAAGAACTGAAAATAATTATTTAGAGTCCGCAGAAAAACAAACAAAAAAAAGTTGTTTTAGTTTGCTTTTCATATAGATCCAACCTTTTTCCTGGTTTTAAAATAATTGAATACCTGGGACTTATCTGAGAAACTGGCTGTAGGTGAGAAAGTTTCTGCAAAAAATATTTCATCAAGCAAACTTGTAACTAACTGAAGTTTTATTTTTGACAGCATTTTTGTAGTTTTTCAGTTACTTTGATGGTAGCCTAGAAGCAGCCAACAGTTGTCGCATACTTTACTGAGTTAAAACAGTAAAAAAAAACAAGCGAGCTCACACCTCCATGTTGGAATCCACCATGATGGATATTATTCAGTTTACATAAAAAGGAACAAGCTATAATTTACAATGCTCTGCTTGCTAAAGTTTGCACATTAGCGGCGATCACCATTTACAAAATGTTTGTACATACAGTATTTACCTGAGAAATCTGATTTCTCTGTTTTGAAATTGGAAATCCAACAATGTTTAAGTCGCTAAAATCCAGTCAGGAAAATGAAATTTGACTAATTATCAGAGTCCATGTCACTGTCTCCTCCGATGGATTGAAACTCCTCGCTGTCTTCATCTTCGCTGAGCTGGGCTTGAGACAGAACGGCAGGGCCTCTTCTCCGCGCTTCATCTTCCTCGTCTTCCTCCTCCTCCTCGCTGATGCCGTACTCTTCGCCGTTTCCCATGCTGGACGGCTGCATTTGACTGCGACTCTCCGTCTCCTCATAGCTGCCGTAGCTGAGAGAAACGAAAGGGAGAGCAAAACGCAAACATTTAGCATGACTTTCTTGTGTATTAAGCTTTCAAAAGTGAGAAATGTGAGAAAAGGCATCCATTTATTGTTTTACCTGATGTTACTGTCTTCCATGTGTTCATTACCAACCCCTTCATATGACATCATGCTCTCATCCTGCTCCATGCCCATGCGGGCCGTATCCTGAGCTCTCCGCGGAGGCGCGGGTCGGATATCCACCTCCCTCTCAGAGTCGCTGCCGCTTTCTGACAGCTGAATGCCTGCATGGAAACGCAATGCATCAACACACAGGAAGGGAAACGCAACGCATCAACACACAGGGCTGGAAATGCAACACAGCAACACAGGAAGGGAAGCTTTAAGGTCACAAGTGAAATCCTAAATTTAAGATGCTGTTGTTTCAAGGCAATGAATATAAGCTGTGGGAGGAGTTAAAATACAGCGCCTTACAAAAGTATTCAATGCTAAGAAGAACAATTACAAAAATATATTTATATCTCAAAAATGTGGCTTCCATCACATACTCCTTAATGAAATCCAGTCCAGTTCAAATACTTTTGACATAGTGTCTGATGAACTCACCAGAGAACGGGTTGTCCCCTTCTTCGTCGCTGGCGTCGTCCTCTCCGTCAGACATGAGCAGGTCCTGGTACAGCACACTGGACTGAGCCGGGAGGTTCGACCGCCCGTGTCTTCGCTCGTCGTCGTCCTCAACGTCGTGCAGCCGCCTGCGAGGCGGCAGCAGCATCTCTTCATCGTCTTCGTCCTCCAGATCTCCATCGGCATCCTCTGCCTGGAAAACAGGCAAAGAAATGAAGGTGTAGAATGTAAAATTAATATTTTATGAACACAACTAACGATTATGTTGGCAACTGATTACGCTATTGATTACAGTTTGACTAAATAAATGGACACATTCTGGCATTTTCTTATGCAAGATTTTTTTGAATAAACAATATTAAAAACACATTAAAAGATGCAAATATACAAATAATCAGGTTCTTTTTAAATAAGAAAACCATCTTATTTTCTAAAGTGCAACAACATAAGATGATTGATGATTTGTAGCAGAGAGCGAGTCTGGAGCTAAAAATCATTTCAGCCCTTTCTGCTTGGCTTATCAACACAGTGTAGTGGCTGAACTGTGATTATTTTTTGGATTATTAATTAGATAGCAAAAGGTGCTGAGAAATATTTATTTACTTAAATTTTTTTTTGCAAAATTTGAAACGACTGAAGCTAAATCTATGCCACTTAAGAGGCAAGATTTTTTTTAAATCTTTCATGCAATATATATTTATTTTACATTTTAGGCTTTTTTACTCCTTTGAGTATGTTGTCCTTTCAGTGAATTGCCTTTTTTTAATGTTTGTACACTCCTCTTAAAATTAATAAACTACTAAATAAGTTTTGCATCAACAAGATTAATCCCCAAGTTTTCATGTTCACATATAAGCAATTAATGTTTCTCACAGGAGCAGGAGTCTTGGGCTTCCCATCATCTTCCTCCTCGAAGCCCTCGATGTCCACATCCGAGTCCTCCTCCCCTGGTCTCCTCATGTGCCGTCCCTGAGAGGCAGAATTAAACAAAAATAATCAGATTTGCTGAAATGAAAGCATATTATATTAAAAAAAAGCTTTGTCCTGGACAACGTTTTTGGTAAGCAGGTCAAATAAATTGCACGATGCTCTGAAGAAAGTCTGAGGAGAGGTGGCATGTGTCTCCCTCCATACCTGCCCCCCTCTCTTCTCTGGAGCAACCAACAGAGGTCCCTCAGAGAAAAGGCTGCTGGGCTCTCTGGGTAGACTCCCTGAAGCCACGCTGTCAAACAGATCAGCAGGCTGGCCAACACCACACACAGTGGCATACACAAACAAAGAGAAAGGAAATGAAGGCAGGAGTGAAGCACAGGAAACACGTTGGAAAGTGGGGGAGGGAAAAAAAGGAGACTGTGGTGAAGAAACCAGACTGCGCAAATACAACGTAACAATCTGGAGGGGAGTGTTAGTAGAGCAAAGAAGTCAGAAAGCAAGGGCAGGAATAAGAGTGAACGATGTAGGAAGGAATCTACTACATGTACAACAACGTGCGCTTCTGTCCTTTATGCCGGCAACCTGACCAGGCCGCGGACGCGCTTACCTGCGGCGTGTACGGCCCGGGTGTCATTGGGTCCAGGCTCTCCAAGTCTGCTGCGTCCAGAGCTGCCTCCTTGGCTGTAGAGATGTCCTTCTCCAGCTGGGTCAGGTGCTCATCGTACTGAAAAGACACGAAACGTTATTTCAGTAAAACCTCCACCCTCTAGTGTCAACCATTTAAGGAGAAAAAAAAATGTCACAGTTGAAATCAAATTTTAACTTCCTCTGAAGTGATACTAGTGTGACAAGAAAAATAAACAAACAAAAAACAGGATTCAATCATATTGTACGTGACAAAAATCATTCCTTTCACTTAACAAAAAGCAGAAAATACAGAAGAGAAGAGGTCTACGGATTGAATAAAAAGGATGGATTGATGCAAGACATGTTTCAATGGATAAATGAATGCACAGAAAAGACTTAAACGCTGGCATAGGAAATAAAGTTTGGGGATCCTGAATTTTTCGTTAAAATTCAGACTTTATGGGAATCCTTACTGTTGTAAAGCTAATCCTCACTTCATTCACAATTCAACACAAAACCTGCAACTCTTGTGTTTGACCTTTAAAAGATCCTTAAAAGATATCATCACTGGTTTCTACACAGATATAATATGCATAACAAATAAAACATACCTCTGCTAAGGTTCCTTTGCACACATTTACGATCTCCAGGGCGGTCTTGGTGTACGGACTGTCTGGACCTGTTCAAAAGGCGCATTCTGTTACATGTTGTTCTACACAAAGTAAAAAAATAAAAAATTTAAAAAAAATCAAACACCATTATATTTGATGCTGTTGGCGTGGATGAGACTGACATCTGAAAGGAATATTTCCCGATTCTGGTATTTATGCTTGGAGATGTTCTGCAGAGCAAAAAAACAAAACAAACAAAATAAATGACGGGAGCATTTTCGTAGTTTCAGCCTGATTTCTTTGTAAATGTTAAACAGTTTTTAAAATTGCAGACTTTTTGTTAGTGTCTCACCTTCCGGATAGTCTCCAGATCCATAGGATTTACAATAACCTTATAATAATCCGGCACAAACTTTTTATTGACAGGATGGTGAAAGGGCCACGACTGTTGAAGGAAACGGCGAGAGAGGAGCGAACAAGTGAGAATCAGTTCTATCACGGATCAAACACTCTGCATGTTTCTAGTAAGAGAGAGCAGCGCAGACTCACATCAGGAACCACCATCATTTTCTGAGTCACAATGTTGTCCAGGATGAAGGAAAACGCCACCTGGTCGTCATCATCCAGAAGCGGGTTGATCGCTTTCTCCAGCCTCACCAGCCGATCCTCTTTCTGCCGTCACAAGTGTGATGGTTATGGCTGAAAGTAACAATATTTTGAGGACATACGGTACTGGTTCTAACTCACCTCTTTCAGCTTAGCATCACACAGGTCAAGCATGGACTGTGCCACTTGTGTAATGGGATGTTTCGCTCCTGGTGGAAAGAAAAAAAAAACACAGATCAATCTCAGAACACTGATGGGGAAAATTGAAAGGCACTTTTAAGAGAGCT